AAGCTAATACTGCATAAAATTTGATTTTTTTGTTCCCCTGTGTAATGTAAACAGTAGGGTGATTCAAAAAAAAAAAATTATTTTTTTTTTCGTGCAAAGAGGTTCAAAAGTTTCTTTTCAACGTAAAAAAATACCAGTTAAAATTTGAGCTCTTAATATTAATATTAAGACCGTCCGCATCGCGTTTTTCTATTTCCCATAAGAATAACATGGGAAAATTTTTGTTTGCACATTCTGATTTTTATTGCTAGCCCGTCGTGTGTCGTGAAAAAAAGTCAATCACATATTTTTATAGAGAATTGAACGCTCTACAAAAAGTGTCTCCTATGATTGTGCGAGAAACCTGATAGTTGAAGAGTTATTTTAGGCTAAAGTTAAATTTATCCAAATTTTGACGTTTTTGATGCATTACAATAAATTTGATGGTCTTATTGGAATAAATCACCACAAAAATTTATACACATTTTAAATTTAGTTTTTTAAACAGTAATTGTTTATAATTTTATGCTATAATAAGGCCAGTAAAACTCTTTCCGAACATTTTCAGCATCAGTGGGTTAAAAAATCATAGTCAGGTTTCTCGCAAAATCATAGGAGACACTTTTTGTAGAGCGTTCAATTCTCTATAAAAATATGTGATTGAATTTTTTTCACGACACACGACGGGCTAGCAATAAAAATCAGAAGGTGCAAACAAAAATTTTCCCATGTTATTCTTATGGGAAATAGAAAAACGCGATGCGGACGGTCTTAATATTAATATTAAGAGCTCAACTTTTAACTGGTATTTTTTTACGTTGAAAAGAAACTTTTGAACCTCTTTGACACGAAAAAAAAAAATATTTTTTTTTTTTGAATCACCCTAGTAAACAGTGATAGTGACAAATCGAAATGGAGAAAAAAGACTTAATGAAAATTGATAAAAAACGTATAAAATCAAAATTGCTTGTCTAAAAGGTAGTTCATGTAATAGTCGTCGGGATATAATTGGTGTTATAGAAAGAAATGTTTGCAATCTTTTACGTACGCGTAATAAAAATCATACTTTTCTTATTGGGCTCTAGTCATTGGGGTCGCAGATATTCCAGTGGCGTGGCTAATAAAGGAGTGTATACTTTTGTATAATTCTAAATTACATGTTTATGAACAACAAATCATTTTTCATAAATTCTATATCGATTTTATGATCTGTCTATTGAACTTAATCCTCTATCTGTTATTATTCTAGAAAATATGTATCTACCTATACGAGTCCGCAATGGTTCTCTGTGACACCAATGACTCATTTTGAAACTGGCGCAACCGCGTTACAACTAGTGTAGCTCAGTGGTAAAATATCTGCTTGACAAACCCAGGTCGATGGGAAGAAACTAGCCACCGGCATACCCTTTTTTTTTTTAATTTTCTACACAGACGACAGACAGACGGAAACACAAAGCGTAATTTTTCATACTCTAGGGGTCATGAAAAGTCGAGAAAACATAAAAGTGGCCATTCATCGGATGGACCCTAATACAATATTTCCTTACTTTACGCTCGGCAAATAAAAATAGGGTACTATCAGATGATTGCCTAGCAATCCCGCTAAGTATAAGATTCTTGTATACAATGAGGGCTATTTCGCGACCAGTACCGACAATTATGGCGATTTACTGTTTTGTTCGAGAATATTATTTAGAAAATTGGGTGTTCCATCATAACGTAATATCAACTCTTCGCAAAACTCTAAGCACCGGTTAGGGTCGTCTCGATGCAGTTCATGAATTAAGTGCACCTAGTACGGACGGTATTTTTCTTTTTTAAAGCATTTGTTAACAAATGTGTGGTCGATATTTGAGTTTAAAGCAAGTTATTCATCAAACGCACGCGGATTTTCTTCGGCTTCCAGTAAAATATTTCATTTGATGTCTTGAGGTATAGGAGGTCAACCTTGTCTAGGTAAGTCTCGTCTAGTACATACCATGTTGCCAAAATTTTGCTACTATTTTATTTACTGTAAATCTAGTGTTGGGGATCTATCAGAATGTTGTTAATTAATTAAAGCACACGCTTCCTCATGACTGCTTACTTTGGCACCGTACGCAACCATCGTTACAATTTCAATTCTCTCAGTTCTGTTGAACGCATCATAATTCTTATAAATAATAACTGCCAAGGCCTCTTTTGAATAATGTGTCACCTTTTGTAAAATTTAACAAGTTTAATAGGAATTCGGAGCTCTCGGACACCAAGAAACTTCTTTTTATATTGTTCCAATGTAGATACTTTTTACAGATAAAAACAATATTCTGGATACCATGGCTTCAACAGTTTGGAATCCCTTGTTTGTTTCCAATGAAAATCGAATTTTTGTTTTTTCAACTATGTATAATAGGATTTTTTCCAAAAAAAAAGGTTATGTAAGGTACAATTTTTTTTCTACGACTATTTAACTAATAAAAGATCTATAAGAACAGAATTCTAAAGAAAAAGTTGGGGTTGCCTTTACAACAAATCGTTGATCACGTCACTCTGCAAAACCGCGGTTAAAAAATAGTTATTTATGATATAAGTTCAGTGTAAATTTTACTTTGAACAACAGTGTTAAACTTTTAAACTTTTAACACCAGTGACATAAAGTGGCACTTTTCTCCTCAATATTTTCAAGAAAACATTTTTCAGTAATAATTACAGAGCAATAACAAAATTTCTATTAAGTGCATTTTAAGACAAAAAGTCACCAAGTCGAGAATGGACTGAGGTGCGTTTAAAATTAATTGCAACGCTCGAGGTACAATCTTCTGTGAAACATTTTACTTTACTACTTTTTCCGGGAATGTAAAGATATAACTGGTACCGCTGTTTAAATTACCTATAAAGCTATCGACTTGCCAAGAATTTTATATGATTTACAAAACTCTAAAATAGATGATTTGTTGAGATATTCTTTCTCAAGTCATTGGCCTTGTGCAACTCGCGTAAATGTTTTTATGAATAGTCAAAGCGCATTAAATTTCAGGACAACATTGAGTTTCTCTTAGCTGGAATTCCGCGAAGACTTTAGAATTTTTTGATCTCTATGTTTATCATACAATGTTCTAATTTGTTTCAAGTTTTAACAATTACTACAAATTGAAAATGCAAATAAGTATCAAAGCAAAATTTACATTCTTTTTTAATGGAGAGTTAATTGGATAAAATGTCACTAAATTATATGTAGAATCGAGACAAACGGATAATGTCAGTAATCATTAAATAATTTCAGCGTGATTACCTCTTATTATGTATATGCACCACTGACGACGATAAATGATCATAGTAAAACCACACCTAACTTAATGCACAACTGTTATCTCATAGAACGCCGCCGCCATATTAAGAAGGGTGGAACCGTTGTTTTAGTGTTTTAGAGAAAATATATACTTCATGTGACATTTCATTCTATTGTCATAACACAACTGTATACATTTAATAAAATTCAATTATTTCTTTTTTTTTAATTTGTTCTTATATATTTCTTTTTCGTTTGTTATTTTAAAGAAACCACCGACCAACGTTTTGGTGTCTTCTATTAAAGAAGAAAGAAATACCAATAATTTCAGTTAGGTACTAGTTCTACAGTAAAACCTAAACAAATATTCCAAAATCTTTGTATAATTTTTGGAATTTCGTTTAATTTTATCAAGGTACGGTTTGTAAGCTACATCAGTATTTGTTTGTAAGATTCTCTAAAGCACAATAATCACTTATTTTAAATAGTGAAACAAACAAATCAACTAATTACATACCGCAACACATCATAAAAGAACAACTAAGAATGAGTAATATTGTGGCACAAATACAATGTTTTTATAATTTTATAATAAAACTATAGAAATTCAAACTTTATGTTCAGAAGAAATTGTAATGATTTCTTATAGAGACAGAGATGTGAACGCTTTAGTATTTTAATCTTTGGAAGTATTTAGCAGGCATTATCATGAGACAGTTTTACGAAATTCACGAAAATTAAATGCGTCGTTTTTGAAATAATAAAAAGAATTAATAGATGGACGCTTTCTAAGAAAACAGTAATCACTTTAAAGATGCAATAAAAGATAAAACTATATCAGGAAGACACCACTGTGACTTCAAAAACACAAGAAAATTTTACGCAAGCTGAGTTTTTTAGCTAAATTATCAAAATATAATACAATGTTAACTAATTTTCTAAGTGCCTTGACCATAAGATATTCGGCTATTATCGGGTTACACTGAGATCAGGAAGTTCTTCTCGTGTACAGAAAATGACAATTTTCTTGTCTGCAGACGTGCTTGCGCTCTTGTCAAATATTTTCGCAGAAACAGAAAAAGTAGAGAAGTATTTTGTGCAGAGTTAATATATTATTAACAATCTTAATTTTTTTCGTTCCTTATGTACGCTATAGAAAATCATACCTCTTTTATTATGATATTCCACGTTCTTTTCAACATTTTAACTATGCTTCAATTACATATTTCAGGTTTTCTAATAATTGTATGTTAGACGAAAGTATCGACATATTCTTGATAACTGTAGTAAAGTTTTTAAATAAAAAACAATTAGCAGGCCGCAAAGAATTGTATTGTTCTAGATTTGAAGTTAAATTTTGTTTTTCTTTATGTACAAAAATGTTATATTAATTCACTATCACTATTATTATTATTTAGACCCACCACTGACCGCAAATGACCGTACGTATTTCAAAAACAGCACATAAAAGAACAGTGGAGATATTATTCCCCTTGATCAATTTATCTGTTTTCGGGTGTCTAAACAAAAACCTGGTCAAGAGTGTCTTTTCCGAAATGAATTTTGAAAACTGTCATCCACTTGCCACATCGACTGTTGTGAATTAATAACCGTTAAATTGAGTTTGACACAGAAATGACAACTGTCTCGAACACGATGCCAAACACTACGACATACGAAAAACAACAATAAAATAGAAGGGAGCCCTCTTGACCAGGTTTTTTATTAAACATCTGTTAATTCCACTTACCTTCTAAGTTACTACCAAGTGCAAAAGATGGAGGCAAGGCAAATGAATCTTCTCCGAACACAGCCGATTGTAGTGAATAAAGTAAAACTGCTACTAATGTTGTCAATCTGCAACAATTAACGCATATGTATTTAGTCTGTATCACCATTATATCTTCTTTTTGTTGTTTTACGACATGTTGAAGAACGGGTGTTCACAAAGTAAAAAAAAACTTCCATAATGAAAGTGAACAATAGCATTTAACTATCACTTACCAGTAAAAAGACGCACCCGAGGTCGCGAACCTAAATCTAAAAACTCCCGAAAAATGAAACTGCAACAGTATTATTTATCCTAGAAGAAATATACTTAAACCTTTAATTGATAATGATAAAAGCAATCACAATTTTCTTATAGCGAAAGTCACAAAACAACTCGTCAGATACCAAAAGTGAAACCAAATATAGGTAATCAATAAATAAAAGCATATATCTATATCACATTAAAAATGGACATATGATTTATTTTAAAAGAACCTATTTCATCTAATGTTAAAGCGAGTAAATTTGAGTCTAATTTATGTTATTCGAATAAGCCTAACTTTTCATCGAAAGACGTCGCAGGAAGATTCTATAATTCCACGCCTAGTAGAATGATATCTCAAATTTTCTAAAAACGAAGCTGCCTCCAGCACCAACAACGTACGGCCATTCAAAATTTATTATTAGAATATTTGCGGTTTTAGGACAAACCGTAAGCATCGAGGTGAAAGGGCGTCTGAAGCAATGCCCAGTGTACTCTTTAGGATCTCATAAATTCAAAAATGTAGTGATGTTTTTTGGCATATTCCCAAACGTATTAATGTCTACAGACTGTATTGTACAAAAACCATTCCTGTATCCAACAAAAAATCTTCCATGGTTGGTATGCTGAGGACGTAATGCCAAATATTTTCTAATTATTTCCATCATATCAAGTCCCTTACAAAAAATTTTCTGGAAATTTTGGTTTTGGTTTTCCGGATTTATCTATGGAATAACGGAATAAAAAATTTATTTTGCTGTTTTAAAACCATAATAACAATAAAACTGACGTTGAAGACAACTAAAGTTTATTAAACAATCCTTTTGCATTAAAAAATGATAAATTGTTCAAATCACTGGCGGAAGCGAACCAGTAGTTCCACTTACACGACACTGTGTTGGTTGACGACTGATCGTTCCACCATGTAGTTTAATATTCAATTGCTATTTCAGTAACTTCTTAGATTGCTTGTTCTCTTTTATACTCACAAAATTTTTAATAAATCTTGGTGTACTTTCTTTGGAACCAACTTAATCACAATCAATCACAATTATTCATTTTCGATGGCTTTTTGGCTTGTTTACTGTTTATGAAACAAACGAATACTACCACTACAGCCACAAACAACACCCAACGATCTGAAGGAAATTTTGCATTTTTGCGCAAATAATTAAAAAAAATATTTGATTGTTGTCAGTGTTGACGTTTCTCAAATAAAAGTCAAATTCAAATTTAGATCTCAAAATTTTGGGTTTGGGGAGCAAAATAGAATAAAACCTTGTATTACACCCGTGGTTAAAATGAATGTTTAATTCGTGGTCATTAACGCGCTCGGGGCTTCCCGGCTTTTGCGGTTAAACTGACCGCTCAATAAAGTCATTTTAACCGCTTGCATAATAATAGACAGAGTTTAAGTGATACTTTACGTGACGGAGTATGGATGAATATCTCACGAATATACGTCTACATTGAGTACTAGCTTTGACCCTTTAATAGATCAGGTTGAAAGTTGAAAATCAGCTTCGAACTTCCCGGGCGAGCTTCCGAGTTCATTTTAAACCGGTTCTTTCGTGTGAACGGACCTTAAAGGATATGTTTCGAAATACATATATCATTTGAACGTTCATGTTACGACAAAAGGCTTTATTATATATTATATATTCTAGGGTAACTATTCTGGCTACACAGCTGTACTTTACAAGTAATTATAGTAGCCTGCATAGATATTGTAGCCGTCCATAGAGTCGAAATTTGCGAATAAAATTAAAATAAAACCGGTTCAAACGGAGCCGACGGTGGCTTGCAAAGTCTGACGTCACTCTGGCACACGTTGCACAGAGACGTATTTAATATTAAATGTCATTTTTTCCGTTATGATATCTGTTTAATTTCTGAGCTGAATCTCGTCAATAAAATCGAAGCTCTGTTCACTGTACACAGGTTGTGGTATGGTATATTCATCGTTGCGGAGGCAAGTGGAGCGAAAAACCTAGTCATCTTAGCAGCAAACACGCCTATAAACTAGTCCACGTGGACTGTTTGTTTCCTGTCATATTTTAGTTTGCTTGAACCAATTGTGTTGCACCAAACGGTTATTACACTTGTTGAAATAAATTTTCAAACTTCCATCTTTCTCTAGATCATCGGTTTCGTAGCTGTGTGACAAATCGTTTGTCGTAGATAGAAAATAGTAAGATTACAGTGACCCTAATATTTTGTGCAAACGGCCTTAAATACACCCCTGTGTGATGTGACGCGTGCCGTAGTGACAGAACTTGCAAGCCGTCGTCGGCTCCGTTTGAGCCGGTTTTATTTTATTTTATTCGCAAATTTCGACTCTATGGACGGCTAGTTGTTGTACCACGATGAAATTAAGATTAACAAATAAAGGAATGAATATTTTATAAACTCATTTTGCGTGAAAACGAAAAAAAAAACTGTATAATGGAAAATGAGTTTCTTTGTTGGTGTTTTTTTTTCTCACTCCGCTTGGGTTATGTTGGACTCAATTACTATTTCCACATCATATATATTTGAAATTCTATTCTTTTAGGCTATTTAGACAGAACTTCCCTCGCCTCCGAAGATCAGTCCAACAAATTTAGCGTGTTTGAAAAAAATGTGATTTTGCGAAATTTTGATTTTATTACGGCAATCACTACAAGTTAAAAAAATTGAAGTTATTTAGACAGAAATTTCTTCGCGCCTGTAGTGCAGACGAACAAATAGAGATTCTTCAAAAAATTATAAAATTAAATTTTGCGAATTTAATTTTTTTTTAATGATAACTCCTATAAGTTAAAATAAAAAAACATGTGGATTTTTAAAATACAGGTAAATAACTACGCTATGCGTATGTTTCAAGTGAGTTTTCCCACACCAAAATTTTGTAGTGATGTCAATAACACTTTATCAACAACACATTTCGATTTGAGTAGGTGCAGTGTAATATAAATAGTAACAGTATTATACGAGTATACTCAAATTTTTAAGAAAACGAGCTGAAGGGTACTAGATTTAATCAATAAAATAGATTGCCTCGGTAATTAATTTTTTTGAGTCAACCCGTGTATGTGATTCTAAAAAATATTAATGCGTTTATGCATAATTCATCAGTATAGAATCATAATATTTTACATATGTTAGGTACGATTTATTCGGCAAAATTTTGAGATGGCATCATCAATTTTTTGAAAGGGAATAAACGGATAACATACCTTGATTAACGATTTGCAATGCTTGCGATGAATTTAAAAGGCTTGCAAGTTTAAGAAAATTTTGTAAATAAAATCTAATGTTTGTAAACAAAATGAATAAAAAACGAATTAAAAGTTATTTTCCACTTTTTAAAATAAGGGAATCAATCATAGGCTGTTCAAAAAATTGCTCACCAACTCAAACGATACATGATTAAATTCAAATCTAAGTTCGAGAAAAAAGATTAAAAAATTCTTTACATCAATTTGACGTTCACTTACAAAAACAAATATTATAGATAAATAGAACCAAAAACATGAAAATTTACCTAATCATAATCTTTATTGACAGTTTTACATAGGGTTTTGATCCGAAAGAGGCTCAGAATATTATAATCCCTCATAGTGACGGTGTTTGCTCATAAGTTTAGACAACTTTACCTCCAAGCGTCAATTTAAATAAACATCTGATTTGTAAATGCTGAAACATTAATTAAAAAAAAAACTTTATTTTTAGGACTTCATATAACTACATAATATAAAACTGTAGTAAGTACTAGTAAGTAATCATAAAATCATAAAATCTCTATAAGTTATAGACATACATATAGATAATAAACAATACAGATTCCATCATAAACCTTTGAAATAATGATTCATATTTTTCACAACATTTCATGCAAAGAATATGGATAAAATTCCCAACATTTGAATCGTCAGTTGCAAATAAGACTCTCCTGATCCTTTTTTGTTATCACGTATTTCGAAATATATAAATCAATTTCGCTATGAGATATCGACCAATATACATTTTACACCTTGAAAACATTGTGTGATACATTTTATTTTACTGTCGTTCTGTCGTGTTCTTACAACTGAAATAATGAATAGTTTAGAATGGAACTGAGGTAAAGTGAAAAGTGCTGACTGATAAGATAAGCAATTTATATGTAGGTGTATTTAGAACTTTAAAAAATATTTAATGTCTTATTAGACGAATAAATTGTGATTACTTTACGTTATTTACACTATCTTGGGAAATAACTCAGGAAGCCTATGTTTGTTGTTAATGATGTTATTACATTGCAAATACCAAAACTAATGCATTTATTGTCTTGTCCATTAGTGATTGATAACGAGGCATCAAAAAAGGAGCTTGCAATTCATTCAGCTAGAGGAAGTTTTTTGTTAATAGCACGTCATTTAAGTAAACTAATATATTTTCAAATGTAGATTCTTTTGCGAATGTCAATTTCAGCGAATCTTTCGATGGACCGGAGAAGGATCTATGTAAATTGCAGTGGACGCATATGTATGTATAAAATAACATACTTGTATACGTGTATTTTATGAATCCATGATATCCAGATTTTTGCAAATAAAATGTGTGACAACATTTTGCAATTTAGCTTTGATTCTGCAAAACCGAATACTTGTTATTTCTCATTGCATTTTTAAAATTGCTTGTGAAGACAAAAAAAAATGAACGAGTCAGTTTATTACTGTTTACTGTTACTATTAGTATTACACTGCACCTGTATAAATTGAAATACCTCTCCTTGTAAAAATATTGAATACGTTATAATAACACTTTGTAAAGAAAAGCTCAGTTCAAACATACGCATAGT